AATAAAATTTTAAATTGACTTAGAAATTATGAGTTATAATTTCAGCAAAAATTATAAAATTATTAGTTACATGAATTAGTTACAAGTAGAGATCCATAAAAATTTGGATCCAAATTATTTCAAACAAATTTAAATTTCTATGCATTTTCTAAACAAATTCAAATTTTTAGTATTTTTCAAATAAATCTAAATTTTTAAGAGCTTCTTATATATGATTACATGATTTATATTTTAATAGTCAAAAATATGAAAATATTTTCACTTGAAATATTTAATAATGAGATATACTAAAACTACTTTAGTTTATTCTCAAGCATGAGAATTTTTAGCTGATTTTTTCAAGGAAAAAAATAAGTTGATATATCACTTCTATAATCTAAATGTTTAATAGTAAAATAAGACTACTATTATGACTCATATTAACTCAAAGACATATCAAGAATTATGATACTCATATAATGCAACAAATCATAAAGATTATCAGCAATCTTTTCTGTCTTCAGTTGCTGTTATCAAGAATAAAAAGCAAATAATAAATGATTTAGTAAAGACTTAGATAGAAGCAGATATTCTAATTGAAAAAATTGATAAACTTCATGACTTTTTTAAAAAATATTATAATGAAGAAGGTGCTATCCTCTTGGCAAATACTATTAGAAGATGATACTTGAAATATGTATTTGAACAACATTATGCAGAACTTTAAGATAAGTTTCATGAAAAGATAGTTTCTCTTATTATTGATAAAATTACAGATAAAAAAGCATGTAGTATTATAAATATACTTTTCAGTTACCAGAGTTATATTAAGCTAATTTTAGTTGACTTTTTGTCTCAAGTCAATAATATTATAATTGATCAATTAGTTCTTTGACTATTAGTTGAGTGGAAAATATCTTTTGATCAATCATATCTTATTGCATCTGATTTAGCAACTTATATGAAAAAATCTGTTCATGAAATATTAAAGTCAGTAATGTCATAATTAAAATATAATTTATGTCCAGCTTATATCTTATATTTAATAAGGTGAGAATAATATTATTGATATTATTTTTTAAGTTTTAATATTAAATATAAATTATTATTTTATTTATTAGTGAAACATGGTTAAGTATTAGTTATTTTGATGATATTCATAAATTAATTATAAATATTAAAAAATTAATGATACACTCAAAAGCACATCATTCTCATTATATGACATATTTATATTGGCATGGAATTACTAAAAAACTATCTGAAGAACAATCAAATACTCCAAAATTAATTTTATGATTTATACCTTTATCTAATGCTACCTGATAAAATTCTTGATTTAAAATAATATTTTATATATATGATTATCTTGATTATATTTGAAGGTTTTATTATGAGAAACAAGAATTAGAATCTTCTGAAACTATTGATAATATTATATCAATTTTTTCAAATAACAATACTAATGATTTGATAGAGTTATATTTAATTTTATTCATTATTATGCAATTTAATTTATATCAGATATTGAATTTTTTCAAAAAGAATGTAATCCTATTTTTTCTTTTATTAAAGAATATATTCAACAACTTGAAAATTATCTTAATAATGGTAAAACTGCTATTGATTTTGGATATAAAATTAATATAGTTTTGACCAAGTTTAATTCAGATTTTTCTTTATTTTAACCTATTTTTCAAAGTGCATTTCAAGCTACATATATAAAATTTACAAATCATTTTTCTAATCATCCTTCAAGATTTCTTTTTAAAGCTATATGAATTTTTGATCTATATTTTTTAAAATTATTATTAACTAATTATGATATTCAACAATATAGTTCTGATATTTTACAATTATCAAATCCATCTGTAGCACTTCTTCAAGAATAATCTTTATATTATAATTTAGATTTAATTGAAGTTGATTATATAAATTTTGAAAAAAATAGCACTTACTCTTCCACTTTTAAGTATAATTACTTTAGATTATATTTGACTTCCTATTTCTTCTTGTTCTATAGAACATAGTTTTTCAATTTACAATAATTTTTTATATGATAATTAATAAAATTTGAGTATTGAATCACTTAAAATATTAAATATGATATATTTTAATGTGTTAAATTAATAAAAACTTAATATTTCATTTAATTTTTTAATGTTAGCCAGAATTATAAGTTAAATTTTAATGCTGGATAAAATTAAATATAATTTTTATTTCAAATTTTATTCAAATATTTATGATTTTTCAAACTAATATTTATGATTTTTCAAACTAATATTTATGAGTTCCTGATTACAAGCCTCAAAAATTACATGTCACAGAATAGATGAAAGTCATGTGATCAAATTTGAAAATATAAATTCTTTTCTTTTATTATATAAAGTAAATAATAACTTAATAAAAGAAAAATAAAAGTAATAAAGCTATTCAAATGACTTAATAAAATAATAAAATGATATAACAGGTTTCTAATACTCTTTTTATAATGTAGTAAACTCCTAAATAATGAAAAATAATAATTTTTGATATAAAGAAAAAGTAGATTTGCAAAATATAAACAAAATATAAACAAAGAGAAAAAGAAAAAAACAATAACTATTGTGACAATAATAATAGTAAAACTTATATCAGTCAACTAATGATACACAGAAATCAAGATGAAACTATAAAAAAAGAAATTTAATCAAGAAAAATTCTCTTTATATCTCTTACAAGAAAATAAAGAAGATAATGATAATACTTGATCTAATGATCAAAATGTGACTTAGTACAATAATAACATAGATCTGTCACCTGAAAATCTGAAAATAGAATTCAGAGATGATATAAATAAATTAAAAGTTATAAAGATCATGTTAAATATTTACATAAAATTATAATTGGTATTAAACTTGAATTTTTCAGAAAAAATTATTTTCTCAAGAGAATAATAAGTAGATCACAACAAATTTTTTATTAATGAAGTAACCTATTATTAATATGAACTCTTTAATGGATATAAAAACTTGATTGGTATTAATCATTAACAGGATAATAAATATTAATTAAGAAATTATATTATAATTTTGAAATTATATTATATATTTTTGAATTATTGTAACTAAAAATTATTTTTAAGATTATACAAACATATTTTTTTAACTTAGACTTTGAGAACAGCCAAATATTTCTAGTATTTTTAAAGATTTTTAGTTTTAAATATTAAATTTTTCAAGTTTTTTTTTAAAGATTTTTAGTTTTTAGTTTTTTTAGTTTAATATACAGATGTGCTGATTAGAGATAGTACAAAGTTAGTCATATCAATAAGTCTAATCAAAAAAGTTTAATGTGCAGATGTGTCAAGTAAGATAACACAAAGTTAGCTATATTAATAAGTCTAATCAAAATTAAGTTATTTTTAAGATTTTTGAGATTATTTATTTTATTTATTTGTTTATTTTCAGTTAAATAATTCAAGTTTACATATGTATTTTTTCAAAATTATTCTTTTATTTATTTATAAATGTTAATTATCAAACTCTTATCATATTTCTTTTCTTTATAAAAGAACACTTTTTTTACATACTTTTACTCTTTACTTATCTAACAAAACAAACATCTGGATCTTTGTTTTTTATCTCATTCAAGCAAGTTCAAGTTAGAAAGATTAATTATATTATTATTAAAGTTTATAAATTAGATCTTTCAATTTTTCTGTTACTATATATAATAGTAATAATTTGTAATATCCATCATAGAGTTAGCTGTAGACTATATGTAATATTATTATTTATTTTTATGTAAATCTGACATAAAAGAAAATAATATTTTGAAATATTAGCAAAAAGATAAATTTTGTATATTTTTTATTATTATTTTCATTTTACAGAGTAAAATATTTAAGAATCCAAAAACTGTTATAATATAGATTTTTATATATATTTTATTAATATTAGTTATTTTATACTCATATTTTATTAGATAATTATTTAGTTATATTTTATTAAATAATAATTAAGATAGTATTATTGATAGATATTTTTAGATAATTTTATAAATATAATGTTCATAATGAAATTATCATAGCAAAGTTAGCAAACTATTATAATAAAACTAATAATATTATCATAACAAAACTAATATTATGATATTAGCAAAAGTAGTATTTAGATCATAATAAAAGTATCATTTGTAAAACCTCTAAAATGTATAAAAATAATATATCTTAATTAGAAATCAAAAAAAGTTTAATTAATAAATAAATAAAAATAAATAAAATAAATTAATAAATAATTAATAAACTAATGAATTAAATAATAATAAGATGAAATAATAATTTAAACATAATAATATTATAAATTTAATAACCTTTATTAATAATATCTTATTTATTATCATACATTCCTTATATTATGATCTCAGGTCTCATTCTAGCTGATTACATCATGAATACATCCTTGTTATCTATCTTTAATCTCATTATAATTACAGTCTAATATCTATTATATTATATTTATGATTATATTAATCTCTCTTATCTGTAATTAATAATATCTTTATTATATCTTATCTTGACCAAATATTATATATAAAGTTATTAACCTATCATGAAAGAACCTTTTCAAGAGGCATCAAAAATAATAACAATATGCATAAACTTAAAATGATAACAATATTAGAAAATTTAAAATTTGATTCAGTTTATTTAATTTGCTTCCTCAACCAATCAGAATTTTATTCGCATTGGCCAATCATAATCAGGAATATTTCACGTGATTTGCCTTCGCTCCTAAAAATGGCGATGATTTGTAGCACAGTATGTAAATAATGACCCCGAAGTTAGTATTGTCTAAAAAAATTACCAAATAGAATTTTTATTATCATTATTAAAAAATTAATCATGTGAAATTGACATCAGCGAGGTCTTATTATTATATCAATGGGGGATCCATATAAAAATAAAAATTTTCGATAAAAGAGGTATTGATATTAACGGGGTTGATAATAACGGGGGTGTCACTGTAAAATTACACGTAATGTGTTCAGTCTATACAAAAATTGCCGACCTTGATTTAACACGAGAGGAAAAAAAATCACTACGCATCCTCTTCACTAATAAGTCTCTTATAAGAACCGAAGCAGAGAAAATTATTCCTACCTGTAAGGACAATGAAGAGATACTTGATTATTTGAAAGAACTCCTAAAGCCAGGTACAGTAAAGTATTAAATATTGCCTTCATTTCTCGTCTTTTTTTTTCATACTTATCGTCAAAAAAACACATTCACATTTCGTAGAATCTGTTGTCACCGGTGGGCTTAATTTTTGATAGTCGCTTCTTCTTTCTCGTCACAATGTGTCATATTCTATAATAATATCGGATATTTCAAACTTGCACAGTCCAGCAATCGTTTCCTTCTCAAGATATTGAAGTTGTCGCAGATTCGATAGTTAACGAACCATCAATTTCATCTGAGTTTTCTCCGTCACAAAAAGTCCAGCAATCGTTACCTTCTTAAAATGTTGAAGTTTCCACGGATCCAGTAGTTAACGAACCATTAATTAAAAGAATTCAGAACGATACGCACTTACCCGAAAATGCCTCTCAACTCCTTCGCTATTATGGTAAGATTGCAAAGATTAAATTATTTATTACTATGATATTTCTTTACTTATGGCTTCACTTTCACATTCTTACAGAGCTTTGGAATAAACCTTACGATGATTGGCCGAGTCTCTGCGAATTTTCAGAGTACTTACGTGATGTTAAAAAAGCTCGCATTCATCATTCATTCAAAATGGAGATCAGGGCTTTACAGAAATTATTTAAAAGTGATCATCCCGCTCAGCTGAGGCTCATACATTTGGAAGGACAATTGAAGGTAAAGTTATTTACTTAAGTAGCCTGAAGACCGATCATCTATGCCAAGCTGTGTGCTTGTTGAAGGAACGTTATCCTTTGTATACAGATAAGCCATAAATATAATGTTTGGCTGTTTCTGGCTGATTTTCGTGTCTAGTTGTACTTTAGTGGAGATAATATCCGTATAGACTGTATGAGAGCTGTCTCCATGTTGAATGCATAAAGCGTAGGACGTGTTCCTGGTTTTACTAAAGTTGCATGAAACATCGGACGTGTTCCTGGTTTTACTAAATTGACCTCAATCTTGATGTATTTCAGAATCAGCAGAAATCACGGAAAATCCATAGAGGAAATGCTACAAAAGTTTCAACTAAACAGAAACTAACAGAAAAAAGATTAGAAATAGCGAAGGTATAGTTTTTTTTTAATTTTATTATTTTAACAGTTTGTGAAATTAATCCGTCATAAATATTCCAGAACTTGGTGATTACAAATGGGTATCATCGTATCAACGATCATTACAATCATTATCACGACGCAAGTGCAAAATTATTGAAACGAGATCTTTTGGTGGATGACGAGAGAACTGATACAAAAAAAATGAAAAAAAGTACTGAAGCTCAATAGATTATAGAATTATCATATATATTGAATCACAATGTCAAAAATTTTAAATGTAACGAATTTGATGATGTAATATAACTAAAGAAATGATTAATGAATTGCATTTGAAGTTTTAAGTTTACCCAATAAGGCCCAATTCTCAAAGATGCTATATATGGGGGAACGCTAAAGCAGGGTAGTGGATTATATGTCAATTCGAATTATGTAAATCCAGATCATGTCAATCTGAATTTACCTATAAAGTTGTACAACCATATACAATATATTTCATCATTATTGCAAGATAATTTTTTTTTGTTTTTGTTTTTTTGAATGATTAATAGGAGAATAAAAACAATAAGAATAAGAGTGGATAGAAGATAAGATGTTAGTTAAGGAATAATTATATTGATAACACAAGCTTAAAAATATATTCATATAAGAAATGCAAAAAAAAAACCAAATATATTCATGCAAGAAATGCAAATCTTATATTTTGAGCTGTATTTAACTGCAAGAAATACTATAAAAATAACTTATATATGTACATACACATACATATATATATGCATACACACACATATACATATATACAAATCATACGCATATCATATGTACATACAGTAGTAATCAAAAAGAATGCAACACTTTAAATAAATTTTTTAAATGTATTTATTTAAGTAAATATATAATAAAATTTGTTTTTAATTAATCAATATAATGCATTAACAGTATTTATTTGATAATTTAAAATTAAATTTGTTAATATTAATCCTAATATAGAAATATTATAATCTTTCTTTCAAAATTACTGTTGCATTATTTATGATTTTTGTGTAAAGGAAAGCGGATCATGTTTAAAGCTACACAAAAATCATATGAATTTGTTTATTTAACCAATAACACATTTATCCGTCATATGCAGTAACTACTTGGTGAAAAAAAAAAAGTGTCAAAGCGCCACACAACTCCAGATGAAAGAGCACAAATAATCCTTTCCCTCCAAAATGGCTACTTCACAAGAGAGATAGCCAGAGCCCACAAAATCAGTCATTCCACCATCACTTGTATTAATAAATGGTGGCGAGAAAACCACACTTTCAAGAATGCAAGTATCCCCGGCTGTCTATTTAGCTTGAGCGAGCCAGAATAATGAAAAATTGTCAACCTCATCACCTTCCGCAAGTGTTCAACCATCATAGAGGTAAGTAAAAATCTCTATACAAATCACAGCATTCAAACTTTGACACCTATAATCTGCTGTGTCCTTCAAAACCATGGATTGGTTGCGAGAATTAAAAAAAAAAAGCCCTACCTGAGCGAGAACCATAAAAAATGTTGACTCGAATTCACGAAAAACCATGCCAAATAGACTGTTAAAGACTGGTCCAAAATAATTTGGTTTGACAAGTCCAAATTTCAAGTCTTTAGCTCGGATGGTATCTAATATTGTTAGAAGCGACCAGGTGAGCCACTAAAAAGTCCACATGTTAAGCCAATGAAGAAATTTGGAGGGGGGGAATTATGGTATGGGGTTGCTTCTGTTCGCAGGGCGTTAGGTTTCTTTGCCAGATCAATAGTACAATGGACAAAGATCTGTACCAAGAAATTTTGTCTGACAAATTAATGCGGACATTGGAATGGTACGATTTAGATAAAAACGAAGTCATTTTCCAATAGGATAATGACTCCAAATACATGGCGAATTCAACGAAAGACTGGTTCACTGAAAATGAACTTGAAACAATAGATTGGCCGCCACAATCCCCGGACCTCAACCCAATCGAAAACCTATAGCGGTAGGTTGATATTGAGCTGCATCGTCACCCTGGCATAATTTTGGGCAAAGTAGAACTATGGGAAAAAATTGAGAAGGTATGGGAAGAAATTAATGTTGAAACTTGCATTAATTTAATTGA